GATAGATAGATAGATAGATAGATAGATAGATAGATAGATAGATAGATAGATAGATAGATAGATAGATAGATAGATAGATAGATAGATAGATAGAGACAGATAGATAGACAGACAGACAGACAGACAGACAGACAGACAGACAGACAGACAGACAGACAGACAGACAGATAGACAGATAGATAGATAGGTAGAGGTAGATAAAGATAGATAGATAGATAGATAGATAGATAGATAGATAGATAGATAGATAGATAGATAGATAGATAGATAGATAGGTAGAGGTAGATAGATAGATAGATAGATAGATAGATAGATGATAGATAGATAGATAGATAGATAGATAGATAGATAGATAGATAGATAGATAGATAGATAGATAGATAGATAGAGACAGATAGATAGACAGACAGACAGACAGACAGACAGACAGACAGACAGACAGACAGACAGACAGACAGACAGATAGATAGATAGATAGATAGATAGATAGATAGATAGATAGATAGATAGATAGATAGATATGACAGATAGATAGACAGACAGACAGACAGACAGACAGACAGACAGACAGACAGACAGACAGACAGACAGACAGACAGATAGATAGATAGATAGATAGATAGATAGATAGATAGATAGATAGGTAGAGGTAGATAGATAGATAGATAGATAGATAGATAGATAGATAGATAGATAGATAGATAGATAGATAGATAGATAGATAGATAGGTAGAGGTAGATAAAGATAGATAGATAGATAGATAGATAGATAGATAGATAGATAGATAGATAGATGATAGATAGATAGATAGATAGATAGATAGATAGATAGATAGATAGATAGATAGATAGATAGATGATAGATAGATAGATAGATAGATAGATAGATAGATAGATAGATAGATAGATAGATAGATAGATAGATAGATAGATGGTGTAAGAGCATGAGTCAAACAAGCCAACCCCCGCCTCTCTACGATGTTCTGATGCTGAGATATAGCTGGTGCCATATCGTTGCTAGGTTAGTCTGTTTTGTTGCTATGGAGTTGATTGACAGCTTAGACTGATGATGTATAAAAGCTTCTTGCCAGTATGAACAGTTAAACACAACCCCCATGTCTCTATCACACTGCAGCATGACAATATCAGTCTGAACCTCTTTAATTGCAGTCTATGGGACAGTTGCTAGGGTGCAGTATCTGGTTGTTAGGGTGTGGCTAGAAAGTTAAAAGGCCATCGGTGATTGGCTGCTGGCTAGACTGAGTTAAATGAGCCTAGCCATTAGTCTGTAGGACAGTCTGATGCAGAATTATGAGCTCACAAAGTTTGATCCCATGTAAAGTCAATGAGTCTTTTGCAATGGAAGTCTATGGGACGGTTTCTAGGGTCCAAAAGTGGTTGCTAGGGCGTGGCCAGAAAGTTTAAAGGTGATCAGTCATTGGCAGTTTGATAGTCTGAGTTAAATGAGCCCAGTTAGAAGTCTGTGTGACATTCTGATGCGGAGTTATGAGGTCACAAAGTTTGATCCAATGTTACGTCTATGGGATTTTTCCGACAGTCCCGGGACGTTTTTCGGGAAACCGAAAGTCGGATCAGTCGGAAAGGATATAGCAACTCGAGTCAGAATAGTTCGGAGGTCTGACCCAAGTTTGATGGTCATAGCTTGAATGGCCTAGGACGAGATAGAGTTTAATTTTTAGTCTCAGAAGAAGAATAATATAGAAAAATAATAATAAGTTTAATAGGATAACAGTAGTCTGGCTTGCTACACAAGCCAGCCTAATAATAATAAGTTTAATAGGATAACAGTAGTCTGGCTTGCTACACAAGCCAGCCTAATAATAAGTTTAATAGGATAACAGTAGTCTGGCTTGCTACACAAGCCAGCCTAATAATAATAATAAGTTTAATAGGATAACAGTAGTCTGGCTTGCTACACAAGCCAGCCTAATAAGTTTAAGTGAGATAACAGTATGTTGGCTTTTCAAGCCACCATAATAAAGATTTCTCTCAAATTCAAATGCAATCTAATAACATTAACAGTATTTGTCATGCGACATGCATACCTAATCGATACAAATTTAAGGTTTAATAACTATTCTTTGCGTCTTTATATATCTCTAAACTGCTATTATAGGCACAACTTTCTAGGGAGTCTTTTTCTTGACTGTTATTTAGGATCTTCAAGACCAGTGCACCTTTGCTCATTACCCTGACCTTCAATCTTTAAGTGTCGTATTCTCATACATTGCACAGGTACTTCCTACATTAATGCATTCTCATCTTACTTACCTCACAACCAAAAAGCTCTCTCTTCTTTTAGCTTATAGGCCCAATTATCCCATGACACGAATCCCCCCTCATCCGTGCCCACTCACAGGACCATGATCAAATTATGCTGAGGAATCCACGCCCCTCCCACATCATCCTCCCTACTTTCTGAAAGCCCGCCCTCTGCTTTACAATCTAAAGTTATTTTCAAAGACATAAAACTATCTTCAGCCCGTCTAGAGAATGGCTGTGAAGTCGTATTGCTTCTTCCTCCAGTGAACAGCCCCAAGTTTCTCCGTCTAATGTTCTCAATGTGCCCCAGTGTTCGGTCTGTTTATCCCTCCCCCATTTCTCAACCCAACACTCCTCCAGTCTTTCTCAGGCCCTGGTCTCTCTCTTTCTCACACACACATATGGTAGGAATTACCGTCATGACTCAGACCGAGGCTCTTGTCCCTGGCAGCTTCTCGTAGCGACAATGAAAACAGAGACGGCTGAGAATGTGTGTGTGTGTGTGTGTTTTATGCTTTCATGTGAAAGAGTTTCATAGTGAGCATTTAGCTTGTTTGTTTGTATCCCTGGATGACAAAACTTATGTTGCATGGGTATATTTTTGGAAATAACCAAAAATACATCGCATGGGTCAAACATCCAGGTACTTTCCATGTTTGTATGAGCAAAGTGTCTGTAAGTTTATTATATAAAATTTACTTTATTATGGACACACATGGTCCAAAAACAAAAACAAGGGCAAAATGACATGCATACTTCCACAAAATAAGTCACATATTTACAAATAGATTATGATGTCAATGATTCCAAGCATTTCTGACGACGAAAATAAGTGGTTTTTGTCTGTGTAAATGTCTGAGGTGTTTTGGGTGGCTGCTAGTTGCTTGCCAGAGCATTGTGGGAGTGTTTGTGGGAAATTGCTTATTAACTGAAGTAAAAAAGGCACGTCTGATATTCTAGTTTCTTGAAATTGGTGGCATCCCTCCTACACTGCAAGTTTGCACCTTTTTATTGTCCACCAGGCAAAATCCTAGACTGAATGAAAAATAAAAGTAACTGCAATCTCAAGAGTTCAAACAACACTGTAACCCAAAGCACAGTGAAGAGTAATGCTGTGTTCACACCAGACGCGGAACGCACGGATAAATTGCGCTATTCGCGTGTAAATTGCAGCGTGAACATTTAAGTTTACTCGCTTCATTCGCGCGTCAAACCCACTTCAGAACAGACGCAGATTGGCGTGATGGGCAGGGCTTCTGTCTGCCCCGTGACTCTAGCTTCATAGCTACAGGGCTAACATGGATTTTATGACGAAAATAACAGTGTTTATGTGCTTTATGAAGGATGATAAACAGCGTCGATACGTTTAGAGTCGTGTCTGAGTCCACTAAATCCTTTCAGAGGTGCATCCAGCTCTTGAAGCTCATAGACTCCTCCAGAAACTGAACCTGGCTGATGGAGGCTTTCAGCGGTGCTTCTGACTGAGCCCAGCCCAGTTTGATGAACTTCTTGTCAGTGTCTGCTGAGGGATTTCCCCTGGGACACCGACAACAGGCGATACGTCACAATCACGCCCCCACAAGAGCAAGCTCCTGATTGGTTAACACGGCACGAATGTCCGCTGAAGTTCAGATTTTCCAACTCAAGAGATTCGCACGTAACGTTCGTTAAGCGTGTCAAATGCGCAAAACGCTTAATTCGCCCCGCGCCATTTGCATCATTCGCGCTGTGCCATTTACGCGTATCGTGCCGCAGGATGTCTATTCGCGCGTTTGCATTGACTTAACATGTAAATCACTCGCGCTTGACGCGCATTCCGCATCTGGTGTGAATGCAGCATTAGGCCCAATCCAAATTCTACCCCTTAGCCCTTCCCCTTAACCCCTCGTTTTGCGTATTCACATGAAGGGGTAGTGGTGTCTTAATTCTCTTAAAGGTGTAGGGCTAAGCGGAAGGGCTAGATACCCCTTCAAACTGAGATTTTTCAGGACCACACTCGAAAGGGGTAAGGGTACAAAAATAGAATTGGGATTGGGCCTAATAATGACATAGCTACCAGACATCCCTAATAAGCAACATGATGAAGCTGCAGGCCCAGAGACCCAACTGCACGCTGAGACCAGCACTTCCAGACCTATCATAAGGGTTAGGGTCAAGTGTCTATTGTTGCTACTAGCTAGAGCAAGGGTGGCCAACCCTGTTCCTGGAGAGCCACCTTCCTGCAGATTTCAGTTGCTACCCATATCAAACACACCTGAACCAATTAATTAGGACCTGAACCCTGATAATTACAGGCAGGTGTGTTGGCAACTGAAATCTGCAGGAAGGTGGCTCTCCAGGAACAGGGTTGGCCACCCCTGAGCTAGAGAGTGCTAAGATGTCCTGGCTGCAGTCTGTAGTCACGATGACAAACTGGACCAAGTCCAATAAGTAGTGGACATTGTACCGCCCACTAAGGTAACCCATACTACTGTGATGGTTGGGTTTATGGTAGGGGTTGGCGTAGGCGATTGTCCATTATGTAGTGGACCTGGTCCAGTATGTCATCAAGCTGTATTCTGCAGCAAGGACTGTCATGAAGGAGCATGCAGTTGGGTCTCCGGACCTGCCGCTTCACCCGACCAAGCAGCAAGTGGCACTTGAGAAAACGATCTGAAAGTGCTGGTGTGGGTGTGCAAGCCTGAGCGTGCAGTTACCCCTAATAAGTGAACACTTACACATGCATGCTGCTGTAATCTATGCAGAAGGTGCTTGGCAGGAATGAAGAAATCCAGCAGATATCTCAAGCTGTCATGCTGGTAGGTGGACTCGAGTACGGAGAACACCTAGAAAAACACATTCACTTTAAATCAAGGAATTTCAAGACGGGAAAATGAAAACTACTTAGACGACTAAAACATCAAGACAGCCTTCACGGTAAGGATGTTACTTAGCACAAGTATGTTTGATAATTAAAAGTGCTGTATGTATTATTAACTAGTGGCTGAACTGTGTATTGCAGTACAAATTCAAAATACTGGAGACAGGTTATTTTTTTCACCTGGTTAAAACAGAAATGCTCAGTCACATGTCTTAAAAACACATGCAAATGATCAAAGTTCCCACTATTATGGTTCAACTAGCTCTTTATTCATTGCACATCCATTAATGTGACTATTGCAGATTCGACATTGCGATTCCAATGCTGAAACGATACCCTAGTAGCAAAGAATTCTGGCCCAGATTTGGCATAAAGCTGGCACAGCAGGCGTTCATCCGGCACTGGCATACAGCATGTGGGCCAAACATGGCCCGAGTTTGGCACCGTTTTTAAGGCGGCACACAAGATTTGGGCCAGATGAAAAACGTAGTATTTGGCCCAGATTTAAAAATGTGATAAGTGGGCCATGTGAGTTTGGCCAGTCTTGACCCACATTTAAAATACACTAAAATCATTTTTGAGTAAAGATAAAAAATTCTACCAATCAGGTCACTTTGAGAAAGAGCGTGCCCATAGCGTGCCTAAAGCGCATCACTCCATGGGTTTATCAATTTCATTGCAATCGTGACACACCAACCTATCTGGCCCAGTTCAGGCCCAGTTATGAGTTATTAACTTGGCTGAGACTTGGCCCAGATATGGTCCGTGTTTGGCCCTTGTCTGGAAGCCAGATCTGGTCCAGTCATGTACCGTAATTCACTGCGGCATGTGGGCCAAGCAAAACCTGATTGTGTGGGCCAGAGCTGGGCCAGAGAAATTTTGCTATGTGGGTATATTGTGCATCCCTAACACACTCAATCAGATAACTGACAGAATATCCAGAGAAATCAATGGAAGTCCATTTGATATTGTTCAGTTTTTCATGTTCCAGAATCAAAACAGCTTAATCCGTCCTAAAACTGACGGAATATCCTTAGAAAACAGAAACTAATGACCAATGGATGTCTATTGGGTTTTTATTTTTTTATTTATTTTTGTCATCTTTCAGAATCCCAGCAGCCCAATCAGTCCTAAAGCTGACAGAATATAGTGATAAAGCAGATACTGATGGTCTCACCTGAGAGAGGAGAGGAGGAGCGGTGCTTTCAAACGGAGGATACAGAGACGAGAGCGCCCCCTGCACACAGTCCTCGACCGCCTCTGAACCCTGAAACACAGATTATCATCAACAAAGACACACACACTGACCAGACGCTTCACATGTTACTCATCACAGCCGACAGCTTGTTTTACTCTTCCTCCTCCTGGACACAACTTCCTGTTTTGTGTTCCAGAGAGCATCCAAGACTTCCTGTGGGCCAAACGGACATCGTGACCTTTTCAACAGCTTCACTCAATTCTAGAAGCGCTTATCTGAGATATAGGCATGGGGGGATAACTGGTTTCAGGGTTTACCACGGTTTGGAAACGGTGTTAAACCTGCAAATATTTTCTGTCATACTGTTCCTACGGGATATTTAAGACTTATTTTTTTTTTTTATGCATGTTTTTTATTTTATTTTATTTTTTAGTGCAGCAGAAAGCACCCTCAAAATCAAAAGCTTCTGGTGAGCCCACGATTCAACATTATAAACCAACATCCAAACATGCTGAACAGTGCAGCGGATTTACTTAACATCCAGAGAGAAGAAAGATCTCCAAAGATGCCCTTTCAATTTTTAATTAGTGCATTGCAAACTAATGAAGACAGCAAAAGTCAATGATTTATTAGGAACCGAGCACCAAAACGGTGCGTAGGCCCTATTGGAATTGCTCTGTTTATTTTTATTCTTCCACTTCTTCTTCTTCTTTTCCGGAATGAATCGCGATTTTGAGGGTCTGAACATGGCCAAAAACTCATGAAACTTTGCACACGGCCTAGAAGTGGTGAACATTTAAGTTTGTTATAGGTTTCAAAAGTGGGCGTGGCAAAATTACTCGACAGCGCCACCGGGCTACGATTCACAAAAATTGGCACACACGTCAAACATGCCAATACCTTCAAAAGCCTCTTAAAAAAAAAACATTGAGTCACAATTATAGTGCCACCTGCTGACAGAAGGAAGCTCGGCATAAATCTGTGATTTTTTAATTTATATTTGCTTAAACTATTATTGTTCGCTGTTTTCTGTCATCCTGAGGCCACCAGGCGGTGGTGAGCCCGGGTGCGAGGTCCCTTTCATCGCTGCTTGCAGCTTTAATTTGAGTTGTTTAGCATCTTTACTGCTCCAAAATATTATAAACGTTTCATTTATTCATTTATTCATTCATTTTCTTTTAGGTGTAGTCCCTTTATTAATCAGGGGTCGCTACAGCGGAATGAATCACCAACTTATCCAGCATATGTCTTACATAGCGGATGCCCTTCCAGCTGCAACCCAGTACTGGGAGACAACCATACACGCTCATTCTCACACACACACACAAACACACACACACACAAATACACTAGGGCTAGTTTAGTATATTATTAAAGTATACAGTTTAATAGTATATTGGCGACGCGGTGGCACAGTGGGTAGCCCATTCGCCTCACAGCAAGAAGGTCGCTGGTTCGAGCCCCGGCTGGGTCAGTTGGTGTTTCTGTGTCTCCCCGTGTTGGCATGGGTTTCATCCGGGTGCTCCGGTTTCCCCCACAGTCTAAAGACATGCGCTATAGGGGAATTGGGTAGGCTAAATTGTCTGTAGTGTACCAGTACTGGGAAACACCCACACACACTCATTCTCTCACACACACACTCATACACTAGGGCCAATTTAGTATATTATTATAGTATATAATAGTATATTGGTGGTGCAGTGGGTAGCACGTTCGCCTCACAGCAAAAAAGGTTGCAAAACTCGGCTGGCTCAGTTGGCATTTCTGTGTGGAGTTTGCATGTTTTTCCCGTGTTGCGTGTTTCCCCCACAGTCCAAAGACATGCAATACAGGTGAATTGGGTAGGCTTAATTGATCGTAGTGTATGTGTGAATGAGTGTAAATGGGTGTTTCCCAATGATGGGTTGCAGCTGGAAGGGCATTCGCTGTGTAAAACATATGCTGGATAAGTTGGCGGTTCCATCCGCTGTGGTGACCCCAGATAAATAAAGGGACTAAGCCGAAGGCAAAAGGAATGAATGAATTAAAATTTGCAATATTTTTTAGAATTGCAAATGCATACAAATGTTCAAATATATGAGCTAAAAAAATCCCCATGGGTTTACACTTATATACTAACCCAATTGCACAATATAAAAGGTGCAGAACAAAGACTGTCAACTGTCCATGAATGTACTCTTACATGAAACTGTGGCACTGGATTAATCTCAGCGCTTCACATAAGAATGATCGTACTTCTGTGTGTGTTTTATGAATGAGGCCTATTGACATAAGCCCAAAGTCATCCTGACCAACACACACACACACACACACACACACACACACACACACACAAACGAATGAACGCTGATGTTTATGTTACGGCTGTTCCGTCGTCATGGCAACCCTGAACATTTTCCTCTGCTTTATTCCTCTCGCCGTCTCCTGAACGCTCTCTCAGGAGCCGCTTCTGAACATCATCTGACAACAATTACGCCGGAGCGTCTTCACAAAACACACATTATGCTCTCAGAAGTCGAGCATTGAGTGAAATAAACACAAAGACGAGGGAACGGAGAGAGCGAAAGTCAGCCAGGAAGGCCAGCGTGTTTGGGAGGGCGAGGAAAGAAAAACAAAGCGAGAGGGAAAAATGGCAGGAAAGAAAGTGAAATGAAAGAAGAATGCGAGAGGAACAGAGTTCGAGCAGAACTGGGAGCATTTTGGGGGGCCGAAATGGGGGAATGGTGAACATGTCACTCGAGGACAACACTAAAACATGCTAAATAGTCAGCAACACTAAAGATGGAGCTGTGTGGCTTTAGCTAGTCATATATAGGTGGCAATCTTTCCAGTTTTCTATATAAAGCATCAGATTTGCATGTGCATCTTATCTTAGATCTGCACACACACAACTGCAGTCAACACGGGGAAGGTGCTGATGTAACAGGGTTATATCGTATCTCTCCACTTGCATCCACTGAAATACTATTGGGAAGGAAGGGGTTAACATTTGTTTATTGTTTTACATGTGGAGCGCCCCTGTTCTGTTCAGCGTTACTGTTCTGACTGTTTTCACAACAATAAATCGCTAAAAAGACATATCAAAGTGAATATTTATTTACACAACACAAGACGCAAAAGAGATAAATTGGTGCCGTGACCCGGACGGGAGTGAGGTTTAGGGGGGTGAGTGTAGCAGAGGCCAGCTAGTGTGTGCTGTGCGGGTAAACCTCACTCCTCTGGCCTCTAAAGGTGCTCTAACGTCAGACACTAGAGGATATGGTCTTTGGCCTCCTTGGTAGAGCAACCAACTCCCATGCGGAAGGTCGCCAGTTCGATCCCAGCCTGGAACGGGTTGGGTGGCATAGGACCGGCGGGATTACGCTGACATGCATTATTTTTATTTCTTTATTTTCTGTTTTGCATTTGATTATTTTATAGTAAAATAATAAAGGAATGCAAGAGGAACAGAGTTAAAGCAAACCGAGGAGAATTTTTTTGGACCAATAATGGGGGACGGTGAACATGTCACTTGAGGACAACACTAATACATGCACATAGTGAAGTCAGGATGAATAAAAAGCTGTTTAATATTCTCAAGAAAACACATCAGTCCTTTTAGCTAGTCATGTCTAGGTGGCAATCGTTCCACTTTTCTATATAAAGCATCAGCTGTGCATGTGTATTGTATCTTAGAACTGCACACACACAACTGCAGTCAACACTGAGAAGTTACTGACATGCAGTTTTATTTGTTTTTTTTTTTTGCATTCAATTGTTTTAAAGTAAGATAAAAAAAATTATGCAAGAAAACATCAAAACAAGGGTGATTTCTGCAGGGAAGATGGGGAAACGGTGAACATATCACTAGAGGACAACATTAATAAACGCACATAGTGAAGTCAGGATGAATAAAGGGTTGTTTAACAATTTTATTTTATGCATTTGATTATTTTATAGTGAAATGAAAATTAATGCGAGAGAAATCAAGTTAAAGCAAAATGAGAATCATTTGGGGCAAAAAGGGGACAGTGAACATGTCACTTGAGGACAACACTATTAAATGCACATTTGAAAGTCAGGATGAATAAAGAGTTGTTTAACAATTTTATTTTATTTTTTGCATTTGATTCTTTTATAGTAAAATGAAAATTAATGCAAGAGAAACAGAGTTAAAGCAAAATGAGAATCATTTGGGCCAAAAAAAGGGAGGGCAGTGAACATGTCACTTGAGGACAACACTAATAAATGCACATTTGGAAGTCAAGGGGAACAAAGAGTTGTTTAATATTGTCAACAACAACAAAAAATGTCATTTTGTAGACCTTTTAGACATCAGTCCTCTTTAGCTAGCCATGTCTAGGTTAAAATCTTTCCAGTTTTCTATATAAAGCATCAGATTTGCATGTGTATTGTATCTTAGAACTGCACACACACAACTGCAGTCAACACTGAGAGGTTACTGACAGACATTATTTATATTTCTTTAGTTGCGTTTCTGGGTCCCACTTTATATTAAGTGTCCTTAACTACTATGTACATACATCAAAAAATAATTACAATGTACTTACTGTGTTTATAATGTATTTGAGAACACTTGTGGTGTTTTTGGGTTGGGATAGAGGTTGGGTTATGGACAGGTTTTGTGGCATGGGTAGGTTTAAGGGTGGGTTGAGGTGTAAGGGATGGTCAACAGTGTATTTACAAATGTAGTTACAAAGGTTAATTATAGATGTAATTACATACAGGTATTTAATCAAGCATAAGTACACAGTAAATACATGTATTTACACAATAAGTACATTGTAACAAACTATTAAATCCTGTGTAAGTACATATTAGTTAAGGCCACTTAATATAAAGTGGGACCCGTTTCTGTTTTGCATTTGATCATTTTATAGTAAAATGAAAAGGAATGCAAGAGAAACTGAGTTAAAGCAAATCAAGGAGAATTTTTGGAGCCAAAATGAGGGACAGTGAAGATGTCATTTGAGGACAACACTAATACATGCACATAGTGAAGTCAGGATGAATAAAGGGTTGTTTAATATTGTCAACAAAAACTTTAGTCCTTTTAGCTATAGTCATGT